CGGGGTTCCGCAGGTAGACTTTGGGGTTCCGCGCAATCCGCCACGGAGCCCTTGGGTTCGGTGGGACCCCGTTTGGGAACCTCTGCCGTTGAGTACCTACCGCGAACTCGACCCCGTTCGACTCATCTCGTCGATGGAGGTTTCGGCTTCTAACATTTTCGAGAGGACGATCATGGAAGTCTGCCGTCCGTATCTCGTTGATCCTGTCAACTGAGTTTTCTCTCTCTGCGTACGGGAGATTCTGGCCGAAGATGCCTGATGGGGAAGTCGCTGCTGCGTCAGAAACCTGGGGCTCGGACCGTGACGGGGGCTCCGAGCGCATAAGGGGCTTCGGATGATTTGTTGCATTACCAGTGGTAAGTTTTCCGGAGTAGAAGGAGTGAGATTCCGTCATCCGGGCGGGGGCAGTTTCCAGGACTCCCTTGACGGATTTGCTCAATGACGGCTCCTTGCGCTGCATCGCGAGCGTACGCGGCCGACGCTACGGCCTACTCTCGAGAATCGCTGGCGGAACCAATGAAAAGCATCGGAAGGGAGGCCTCGCCCTGCTGGGCCCTATACTCCCCATATCGACGTCTACACAGGCGCCATGTACGGGTAGCCGCTTCGATCCGCACTCACGTTCTTCCGGGGAAATGTTGCTGAGGATGTGAAGAATTTCTGTCGATCCTTCATTCCTCGAGCGTGCTCTCGTACGCGTTGTTTTTATACATTCTTCATCTTCGCGGAGGGCTCGCTGGCGAATGGGTGAGTGAGCGGTGGCTCGACTGCTTACGGGTCTGCCTGGAGATTCGTGTCATTCATCTCGAGCTAGCTGTCGCAAGGAGCCGTTTGGAGTTCCGGGGAAGCACTGAGAGCGGTCGACAAGGATCGGAGTGTCCCGTAAGGAGTCGTCGCCTCGGTGGAGCAGGAACCTCAGTATTCGAGGTGGAGAACTTTGGGATATCCCGGACGATATAGGCGCGAGCTCGACGTTGCTCCTGACGGAAGAGGCACAGACTCTCAGGGGGGACTGTTTGTCTCTGGCCTCAGATTCGCTGGGGGAGCCGCAACTCGAGAGAGCTGGGAAGCCGGGGTATAATTCTGAAAACGATCAACTCCTCGACCCTAGCTCATCCCGGGCCGACGGGTGATCCACGTCAGTTATTCTCCACCACCGTCAACGAAGCTTTCCGTGATAGACTGATGCGGCGTCTCTACTTACCGAGTAATTTCTCGGCCGGAGCAGCCCCCTCAAAAATGCTGACGTCCTGCAGAGAAGACTTTCCGACCTTCACCGATCCCGGATCATCTCCGATGGACACGCTTTCGTGTTTCCAGATCTTCATGCTTCCCGATCTAGATCTCGAATATGGGCGGAAGAACGGCGAGCCATATGCGAGTTGAGGCATCCGTTCATTCTTCGCGAAATAGGCCTTTCCGAGCGAAGGCGCGAGACTGGTGGCGTTGTTCCGGTGGACGCTGTCGCCAGTCTTCTCGAGGGATCAGCGACGCAAAATACTCCGATGCACTTGCTAAATGGAGAAAATACGATACTGGAATCAAGTGCCCCCCATGGTGTCAATTGTCAGCAATGGGCGCCGTCGGATCAGGTACGTTGGACACGTCGGCTCTTAGGGAGACGTAAACCGTTTCATATTATTCTATTAGCCTT